CATCTTTTAGTTTTTGTTACTTCTATCGTTATTCTAATTAATCTTCTTAACTTATTGAATAAAATACTAAAAATATTATAAAATACCTCCCGTGGACCAACAGGTAATTCACCGAATGATTGCCGGTATAAGCAATTCCTCACTTATGACCAACGGCTGTGGGCGGATGAGTTAATAAGTGGAAGGGCACTCTTTTGTCCAAGGGTTGGGAAACTGGTACTAAAGGCGGATGAATCGAAAAATATGTCAACGGCGTAAGGATGCAGAAGGCAACGGGGAACCACTGCATTAAAGACTCTTAGAGTACCCCTAGTAAAGTCATGAATGGCAAATGACAAGTAGAGTAAACAAACTTACTGATTATGGAGCACGGAATCCAAGATCCGGCAGGGGAGGAATAACTGTAGATCACAGGGCCTCCCAGGTCGTAAACCAGAGAAATCCCTGTGGACTCCCCCCCCTCAGTACTGCTTGAAATGGAAAACCTCCAAATTAATGTTTTAGGTATAAGTGACGTACAGTGGCCAGGTTCAGGCAAACAAATTACAAATAATGGAACCATGTATTATTCAGGTAACAACGAGGTCAATCATCGTTATGGTATTACTATCTTAGTTGCAAAAAAGGTCAATTACTCTGTGATAAGTTTTACTCCTTATTCTGATAGGATCTTATCAATACAACTACAGTCTAAAAAAGGTATAGTAAATTTTATTCAAGTTTATGCTCCTACGGCAGATAAAGATGACGACGATATCGAACTGTTTTACCATGACTTCAATGCCAAAGTTGGCCAGGGAAGAGTGGATGGATATTTGGGGGAATATGGTCTAGAAATAGAAATGAACGTGGTGACCGTTTGATACAATTTTGCCAGACGGAAGAATTTGTAATAGCTAATACACTTTTTAAGCTACCAAAAAGAAGATTGTATACATGGAAATCTCCCGGTGATACAACGAATAGAATAATCCGAAATCAAGTTGACTTTGTCCTTATTAGACAAAGATTTCGTAATTCTATACTGTCTGCCAAAACTTACCCTGGAGCAGACATCGGTTCAGACCATAACTCCATAGTAGTCACATTACGAACCAAATTAAAACTGGTTAAAAAACCCCCACACAAAGTAGAATTGATATTAAGAGATTAAGGGAACCACAAACAAAGGAACAAACTGTAAAAACTCTTACTGAAAATCTACGTAATGCCCAAGAACTGAATAAAAGTAGCTATAACATTGATCAGAAATGGGAAAATATAAAAGTAGCAGTAATTAAAACAGCAAATGAAAACTTAAAACCAAAGAATAGAAAACATAAAGATTGGATGACTGAAGAAATACTACTATTAATGAATGAAAGACAATCATTCAAAACAAAAAATCCAATTAAATATAATAAAACTGATCGATTAATAAAAAAGAGAATAAAAGAAGCTAAGGAGAGAATGTTACATGAGCAGTGCCAAGAACTAGAAGAAAATGAGAAAAAATATGACTTTTTTAACATGCATAAAAGAATTAGAGAATTAACAGGAATGAGAAAAACACTTCAAACTAGGCAACTAAGAGATGAAAGGGGTGCACTTATAACAGATATAAACCAAAAAATGCAGAGATGGACACAATATATAGCACAACTATTTGAAGACAAAGAGAGAACAGAAGCACCAAAAGAATTTAAGGATGATACTGGGCCTGGCATTATACGAGAAGAAATTGAATATGCAATGAAACAAGCTAAAGGTGGTAAATCTCCCGGGCCTGATGAAATTCCTATCGAATTACTTAAAATTGTGAATACTGAATCTATTGATCTTCTTTTGGATCTATTCAATACCATATATAGAACAGGTATAATACCTAAAGAATGGCTCCAATCAACATTCATACTGCTTCCCAAAAAAGCCAATGCAAAAGAGTGCAATGAACATCGCACCATAGCCTTAATGAGTCATGTCTTGAAATTGTTTTTAAAAGTAATTCACAATAGAATACATAAGAAATTAGATGAAGGCATAAGTAATACACAAATGGGATTTAGGAAAGGACTGGGAACACGAGATGCACTGTTTGCATTAAGTGTTCTTTCGCAGAGATGCTTAGATATTAATCAGGAAGTATATGCCTGTTTCATTGATTTTGAGAAGGCATTTGACAGAGTGCAGCATAATCGACTTAAAGAAATTTTATTAAATAAAAACATAGACAGTAGAGACATTAGAATCATCTGTAACCTCTATTGGAATCAAACAGCAAAAGTGACAGTTGAAAACGAACTGACCAAGGATATCCAGATTCGCCGTGGGGTCCGCCAATGGTGTATTTTATCACCCTTGTTATTCAATTTATACAGTGAAGCCATCTCAGAATTAGCGCTTGCCGAGATCAGTGAGGGCCTTATAATAAACGGTGAGCCACTTAATAACATAAGATATGCTGACGACACCGTCCTTCTGGCAGGAACACTAGAAGAACTGCAACACCTTGCTGAACAACTAAATATATATTGCAACGATTATGGACTAAAAATCAATTTGAAGAAGTTCATGGTATTTACAAAAGCACAAAACATCAAAGTTAAGCTAGTACTAGATAATACAGAAATTGAACAAATATCTTCGTACAAATACCTTGGAGCATGGATCACAGAAGATACTGATCAGACAAAAGAAATAAGATGCCGCATTGAAATTGCGCGGTCAACTTTTAATAGAATGAGAAAACTTTTTTGTAATCGCGATATCAATATATCGCTCCGGATAAGAATGCTTCGATGTTATATTTTCTCTACCCTTTTGTATGGAGTTGAAGCTTGGACACTTAAAAAATCCAACATTAAAAACCTAGAAGCATTCGAAATGTGGTGTTACCGACGCATTTTGAAAATATCATGGATGGATCGCAAAACAAACGAACAAGTTCTCGAACAACTAGGAAAACAATGCGAAGTTTTAAATTCCATAAAGATCAGGAAATTGGAATACTTGGGGCACATCATGAGAGGTGAAAAGTACGAACTACTAAGGAATATAATGCAGGGTAAAATCAAAGGTAGAAGAAGCGTAGGAAGACGTAAAATCTCGTGGCTACGCAATCTCCGTAAGCGGTTTGGATGCAGTTCAATTGAACTATTCAGGCGAGTAACCAATAAAATTATAATTGCCAGAATGATTTCCAATCTCCGATAGGAGTGGAACTTGAAGAAGAAGAAGAACTTATTGAATTTATCGCAGCTTTTCCCTCATTGTGCATTTCTGGTTGACCTTAGAATTTTTTTGGAACTCTAGAATATGTAATCTATAAGTTTTTTATTGTGAGACGGTGGGAATCAGACATCTAATCCAATTCTTTTCATTAAAAAATAATTATTAATTATGTCGGAAGGAGATCTCGATTTGTAGTTTTCGATTTCATTTATGGCATGGATTACTACTTAAATATTTCATTTCTATTTTGATTTTGGACTTCATTACTAAATTTTAACTCTTGTTGAAAATTATATTCTTCTGAATTCCAACATCAAGATACTAATGAACCTTTACATAATGAAGGGTGTCCCAAAATTTACACAAGATTTGAATTGGAAATAGACTACACGTCTTTGCTAGCAAATACACACTCTTTTGTTGAAATTTTTCATGACTATTTTCCGTAAATGTGGCAGAATTTCGTTGATGCAGAGTTCAGGTTCCTCCTTCAATGCACAAGTGATTGTAGGTTTGTTGGCATAGACCTGTGACTTCAAATAACAACAAAAACAAATCCAATGATGTTAAATCACACGATTTAGAAGGCCAATTCTGATCACCAAAACGAGAGAGTACACGACCAGCAAATTTCTCATGCAGTAATTGTTTCACGGACTGCATGGCATGTGGCACCGTCTTGTTGAAACCACATGTCGTCCTCATCAATATAATCAAATTTAGGCAGAGAGAACTCTGTTATTATGTTGCGATAACAGTCACTACTTGAACAGCCTCATTTTCAAGGAAGTATGCTCCAATAATGCCTCCAGCTCAAAATCCGAACCAAACAGTAACACATTTTGGATGCATTTGTTTTTCAACAGTCATATGTGTGTTCTCAGAACCCCAAATGAAGAAATTTTGACGACTAACAAAGCCATCAAGTTAAAAATGGGCTTCATCGCTCGGGATGATTTTGCTCGACAAATCAGCATCCTTGTTGATGTTGAATAATCCATTTAACGAACTCTCTTTGTTGTACGTCGTCATTCAGTTCTTGTAACAATTGAACTTTGTAAGCAGATGCAGATCTTTAGTGAGTATACCCTGTAGAGCTTCTTGCAATTTGAAATTCCTGGACTTTCACTAACATTCTCAAGCCCTGCTTCGATATTGACATTTGAGCGGCTGTATTTTGACGACCAATGTGATTATAATGACCCATTCATCCAGTCTCCCTGAATTTTTCAATTACTCGCTTTACAATGGACGAAGTTAAATCAATATTCCGGCCATGTTTTGTACGAAATTTTCGTACGGTGGTCGCCAAACTTTCATTATTTTTAAAAGATTGTTCAACGATGAAAACGCGTTGTTCTCTCGTGTAACGCTCTATTTTTAACTAATCTTAACCTGTTAGCTGCCAAACTGTTTTTTTTTTGTTACCAACACTTTACTGTACAAATTACGGCAAATTTTGCCCAAATCTTGAGTGCATTTTAGGACAACGATTATATGGAGAAAAGGACACCGAAAAAACTAATCCCAAAACCAGAGAGGTCATATAAATCGATCATATGGAAGGAAAGCTATCAAAGACATGGGATAAACTTTTACCTAAAAAAGATCACCGTTATAAAGAAAGCAGAAACCAATGCTGTGACCTCTAGAGATCTTAACTTATAGCTTCTAAGTAAAACATATAAATAGGAAAAATCCAGTGATATTTTTATAAATGGTTTCTTTTACCATAATTTAATTAGATAAAAAAAATAAATGTGTCGTAGTTATTAAAATGTAATAATTACCATATAGATACAAAACACCGTGTTTAATGGCTAAACCACAATTCATTCTAGGAGATGGGCTAAAGTATGAAGGACTCTGTTTTGAACTGATCACTTCTCCTTCTGAAGTGCTTGGCGCTCCGCCTACTGTGACTTTAAAAATGCCATCATCTGAAATAGTCGTTGTTTCTACTTTTTGTTTAATATCTTCCACCTCCTTTTCTTCTGCAACATCTGCCAGAAAACAAATCATAATCAGTTTAACAATTGGTAATAGGCAAAGGGAAAGGTTAAAAATTGAAATGTATAAATAAAATACTTATAAAATAAAAGTTAGGTAGATGTTAAACAGATTTGATAAAATTATATCAGTTACTAATTTAATTACCACGAAATCCGTCTAAGTATGACCCCCCATGTAGCGACTAAGCACAGCATATATGCGTTACGGTTGTAATTAATTTTGAATCAGAGCTTACATTCACAATATTATTTGTTATTAGAACAACAAAACTATTTGATACACATTAAGGATCACCAATTGCAGTTAAATACAACTGAAATTAATCGTCTTCCGGGTTTAGTTAGTGTCTTTTATGGACGAACGTATATAGTATTATAGGTCACAAAGAGGAATAATTTGTGCAGTTAGAAATCTCAATAATAGTATTTGGTATATTTATACATAATTTGACAAATTCTTTTAAACCGTGAAAGATACCTGAAAGTCCATGGTCCACGGAAGAGATATGCGCACGACAAAAAAAAACGCCAGCCTGAACGAAACAAGCAATCTAATTACCGGTCGCATAAGACCAACCCTTCTAGATAAACTCTATAAAGCTTCAGGTCTTTCTAATCCTGTCTCCCGTAGACCGGCCAACGAATTTACCAAAAGTTCCAAATAAACCTTTGACAACCGCCGTATACCGACCACAAACCGTATTCTGGTTATATTCGGGACTAAAATCAAGAGAGCGCTCGTTGGCACCTTGCTAATCGAACCATCAGCCTGTTACCCACTAACAGATATTCCACAAAACGGGATTTGAAGTGACTGGTCGACATGGCATATGCTGAACCGCTTAACAACTGGAATGGCACCGACCAAGTCAAACCTTAACAAACGGGACCTGCTGAACAGAAAGAACAAGTGTGACTGCGAAACAATAACATGGAACATCTACTAGCCTGACAAATCCTTCTGCATAGATGCACTCTCGATGGACAGGCAACCAAGTAGCATTGAATACAGCCCAATACTGGGCTCAGAAACTATAGTTTTCTGGACACGAAAAAATAAAGTAAAACTCTAACTCTAAGTAAAGTACACTAACCGTTTCTGTGTTTTTCCCAGCAGTATTATTCCTACTGAGGCAGGATTTCATATTCTGCAATATGCCAATGTTGTAGGAACTTTAATTTTCTTACGTTTTTCCCAGAAATTTTTTCCTCAAAATCAATAGTTTTCGAGATAAATAAAAAAATATGGTTGTCACATCTTTAAAATGATGTGATTTCATCATCACATCAGTCACTAGATGCATCCAAAGATGCTCACAAAGCACTTACAATTATTGTCTAATAAAGTTTCAAAACTGCCGTAGCATTTGCTGATATTCAAAAGTCGAGAGTTATGACAAAACTAAAGAAAATTGGTATTTAAGTGAGGTGGCTGTTGATATATATGCAAAATTTACATCTTCCTGAAACCTTTTTGTGGCTTAGATGTATATTAAGACAATATATGTCGTAGGAGTACGGTTTGTCAGTGTTGTTGTCTAGTTGTATACAAACTTAGATTGTATACAAACTTTTGTGGCTTAGATGTATTTAAGACAATATATGTCGTAGGAGTACGGTTTGTCATCGAGTTAGAATCTATGAAGAGGGCATCACGTGACTAAAAACGACCTAACTTCGGCCATATTGGTATTATTGTTTTGAAACTTTTGACAGATCGTATATGTTTGGTTATATTTGTTGTTTTTCGAATATTTTCAGTTTTATAATAATTTTATAGAAACTGTATTATATTGTGATAGTGCATAATAATGGTTTCTTGTTCTCAACGTAGTTGCAGTAGCAGAAGTAATTTAATTTATCTTTATATATAATATATCGTGTTTTTAGTGTTTACCGCGGGATAAATAAATCATAGTTTATTAAAAATGTATTGCACTTTTTTAGATTATGATTAAATCTTCTGAATAACTAGTCATATTTGTATAGTAGTTTTATTATTATTGAGTCTGGCCCTGATGTCACCGCCATATTGGTATTATAGTTAGCCACTCCTACATATGCCGTTTTTAATACATACCTAAATATGCTCATAGCTTCTCCATAGATTGTTGTATACAAACTACATCCACTCTGGTGGCCATGACCAAAAACAATTTATTAATTAATGAGCTTGATTAATTAGTAATTATTCATTAATAATTAAAACACCTTAAGAAATATGTCCATCGACAAAAAATGCTCCTACGACATATAGGTACTATCTTAAATATATCTAGGCCACAGAAAGCTTCTCTTCTTTTTCTTCTTTTTATGTAGACATACTCTCTGATTTTCAATGTGCCTCCAGTAAGTTGTCATTCCATCGTTTTCGTGGTCTTCATACGGATCGTCTTCTTTTTTGGCGAAACGTCTCTTGCCGCCTTTACTACTCTATTTGTTCTCATTCGGCTTATATGATCATTCTATTCTACTCTTCTATTTCTTACCCAGTCCTTGATGTTCTCCGACTTGAATCTACGTCGTATATCTGTACTTCTAGTCTGTCCAATAGTGTTTTACCATTAATTTTTACGTGTTTTCATCCCTGCTGTTTCTAACATCCTTTTTGTTCACTCGTGTCAGGTCGTGTTGTCATTATTGGTCTGATGACTTTTTTGTAAATTCTGCCTTTCATTTCTTTCCCGATATTTTTATTTCTGCATATTGTTTCAGTCAGGCAATCTACGTCTCTGTTTGCTCTATTCACTTGATATTTCACTTCAGTTTCGAGCTTTCCGTAGCTAGATAATGTGATGCCTAAATATTTAAACTTCATCACTTGTTCTATTATCTGACCTTCCAGCTCCAATTTACATCTTAGTAAATTTGTAAATCTTTTCTAGAAGATGTAAATTTTGCACATTTCGCGTAGAGCAACGAACAGAAAACGATAATTAATAATTTCGGTCAAGTATTAACAGTTTATGAAAAACAGCCGAAGAGAACCAACATTATAACTAGACTTCGGCAAATATGCATATTGCATATTTTGCATATTGTGCATATTTTATGCAAATATTTCATATTTTGGCATATTTGTATAAAAGTTTGCATAAAGTGCATAAAAGTTCAGATTTTTATACTGTATTTGAAAATTTTTAAACATACCAATTTATTTTAATTCTTGTATAAAATTTTGTAGTCATTTTAATCAAGAAATGATCTAAGTACGGAATCTCTACAGGTACAAAACATTTACAATTTCAAAGAAGATCAATTTAAGTAGCCCTCAACATTCTTAGAAAGTCTCGGTCACTGAGGCATTCAGTTATTGGATAATCGCTAAGGGTTCGCTCATTTGCATTTTATGATCTAATCCCCAAATCTATCTACAATTTATTGTATCTTAATAGCAGGTAAACGGCTAATAGTTTTGTTCCTAATTTAGGGATTTTCCAAAATCTCCCAGTTTATTGAATTAGGTACCTAAACATTTCTAATTTGATGCTCAGATTTGTAAATCATTTTTGTTTTGATATTCAAAGCGTAAACACTCGTTGTGCGTAACAAAAAGGAAGATTGTGATTTTATAATGCCTAAAACAACCAGTGCTTCAACTTGGATTAAACCTTATAAAGAGCTGTCTATGGATATGGGAAAAATCTACTGTTCAGTCTGTGACAAAATTGTAAGTATCTAATATTTTCTATTAAATATCTAATATTTCATACATACAGGGTGTTTCCAAATGACACTTACAACGTTTGACTGTAGATACTTCTCGAAAAATTGAACAAAACGATATAGTTAATGAGGGGTCAAACTTATTTACTTTTCGAGATACAGGGTGTTAAAATTAAAAAAAAAAATTAAATTATTTTAGTTAATAACAACAATAACTTTAAAACCAATAAACGTATTTACTTGAAATTTAGTACTCGTAGGTTGTTTTTAAATGAAAAATAGCTTCCTTTAGTGAGAAAAAATTGTCCATGGTACAATACAATGGTGTGTATTTAGAAAAATTTTTCACCTTTACTTTTTTTTATGAAGTCAGCTATTCTAAAACACAATTATTTTTATTGTAATTGAATTAACAAAAAAAAACTTTTGTTGAATTTTAAAATAAGTTATATGATGTACTAATGGTTAGTAACAAAAACTAATTTGTGGATTAATACTGCATTTAAAACACTTAGCGAGTGTTTTTTTTCAAACCAGTTATTTGATTAACCAAAAACATTTTGTATATTTTTATATTTTAAAGGTTGGGTTAAAATAAAGGTTTTTATTTTTATTTATAGATAGCATGTGAGAAGAAATTTCAGATAGATCAACATGTGAGAACTGCTTCACACATTGCAAAAAAAGGAAAAATAGGAGAAAAACATCAAACTTCAATGGCTAAATGTTTCCAATCTACTTCAAAAAAATTAGATGAGCAAGAAACTTTTAATGAAGACTTGTGTCGCGCATTAGTGTCTGCAAACATACCGCTTTCAAAATTAGCAAATGTAAATTTTAGTTCGTTTCTAAAAAAATATTGCAAACTTAATGTTCCAAGTGATCGGTCTCTAAGAAGAAATAATGTGAAGAAATTGCAGATAATTATTTTTACATATCTGTAGACGAAACCACTGATTCCTCCGGAAAGTATATTGCTCATTTATTGATTGGTGTTCTTAAAGAAGATACCTTACCAAAATCTCATCTTATTTCATGCCAGCAACTTGAGAAAACAAATGCTTTAACAATTTCGCGTTTTATACAAGAAACATTAGCAACTTTTTTTCTTCCGACAACTATTCCTTCTAATAAATTACTGCTTATTTTATCGGATGCTGCTCCTTATATGGTGAAAGCAGGACAAAATTTAAAAATATTTTTCCCAGATTTAATACATGTTACTTGTGTAGCGCATGGATTAAACAGAGTTGCAGAGGAAATACGAAAAAAGTTTCCTCTTGTAAATACCATGATATCCAGTGTCAAAAAAGTATTTCTTAAAT